TTCTATAGAAGAAAATTAAATGAAAGAAAAAGCAGGGACAAAATGTGGGAAACACATGATAACAGAAACTGTGTAACCTGCACAGGGTGCACTCCATCCTGAAGACTCAGAGGAAACCTTTTGTGGACTTCTGAGCTCTCGCTCTTCAGGAAGTAGGACAAAAATAGTGATAATCTGGGTCACAAGAGTTTTACTTCAGAGACAGGATCTAAGCAGCGCCACCTCTTGTCACCTTACATTTGGTTCACTGACATACATTTTTGAGTGCCTGTTACTTTAAGGACATCCTGAATGGGAAGAAGTATTTAACACATGGGTTTAATAGGAAGCAATTCCAGTGTGAGGCATTTATTCGTCTGGCTTTCCTGTATAACAAGCAAAAAAACACGTAATTTCCACCGCTGTCACTGTTCTTTGGTGGTTTTCTGTGGCATTTAGCTGACATTCTCTAAGTTACTGTTCTCTTTATGTTTTAACTTTGAAAGTGCTCTTCAGAAAGATGGTTTATCTCAGGGGAGCATTACTTGTACTTTGGCAGCAACCTGAAATTTCACAATAAACAACTAAAAAGGTTATCAAGAAGAGTGGAAAGACAGTACATGCCAGTTTGCCTGCAAACCTATAATGGCTGAAGCTGTATGAATCATGTTTCAACAAATATTTGAGATAAATCTATCCATTGTCTACACCCGCTTATCCTTATGGGTCCAGGTGTTGGATGAGAGGCAGCGTGCAACCCAGACCGGTCACCAATCCATCCCGCTTTGCAAAGACACAAAGCGGGTAACAATTTATTGAATTTTTCAACTTTTGGAGAAAACCAAAGTACCTTGAGAGACATTTAAGCTTGAAGAAGAAAGACCTCAGATTCAAACCTGAGCATCAGTTGACCACAGTTTGGAGAAACTGTGATTTTTTTATGAATCTGGAATTAAGAGTTGTAGCTCGATATGTTGGCCAGCAAACATTCAAGTTGTTAAAGGTACTGTTTGCTTGCCTCTGATGAAACATAAAACTCAACAATTCATATTCCTTAATTCTGCACCAAAATAACTTTTCCCCTACTTTCCTGCTCATAATCATCACAAAACACTTCTAATCAGACTGCAGCAAACTGTTGTGCAGAAGAGTTCACAATGTTTAAATCTCTTCAGCAAAATGGAGATCAAATTAGCTTCCTTGACAAGCCGCACTAATTACAGTACCCTACTTTTACAAGATCCTGCAGAGTGCAATTATTTTCCAATCACATAAAAACTCTCCAAGCTAGCTTGTAATCCCGGTAAAAGATGTGTAAAAAGCCTGGAAATATGTTCTGCGCTAACTGCTTTCTCATATCCTACCACTGAATTTTTTTCATTCTTTTATTTTAATACATTTATTTATTGCAGAAGAAAAATCCAATGTTTAGAAATTACTTCCCAGAGAAATAAAAACAAATGCTACCATGTGTTGCTTCCCTGATATTCCCTGAAAAAAAAAATCTAACCAAAGCCTTTCTGATCCATATTTTTTGATTAAATCTAGAAAACTCTCTGTTTCACGCAGCCCTCTTAAAAATGGGAAAGACAAGAATACATGCTATCTAGGTAATGCAGATTCCTCTGAATAAGAGAGTAAGGCAGCACAAAAATATTGGCCTAAACTTGTGCAATGTTTACAATTAGAGCAATAATCATTTTTGGCTCACACTGAGCAATAAAGAGAGGGCAGGAAGAAGAAAGTGGGTCACATTTTCCAAGGTTGTAACATTACTTTTGGTTTGATGTTACGCATATTGCTGAAATATCATCATGTCTTGTTTATGAGTAACAGTAGGAAACGATGCGAACTGGGGAGAAGACAGAGGCAAGAACAATGTTCATAGTGGGAATGAAGCCACACAAATTCAAACAAGGTGCTCCACTTACGTAGTTAAGCTACGGAGTTATTTGATGTGCTTATCTTATGATTCACATACAACATTTTTTTTTATTGCTAAAGGGGAAGGTAAGCTTTTTTACTTATGACCTAGCTTTTGCCTGGAAATGTCAAGGGCTGGGTGAAATGTTCTGCTTTATAAGTTGACAAGCTATTTCTGTAAGCTGGTGAGTAACTGATGAACTATTTCATTTCACAAAGAGATCGATAGTGAGGAGTTCCCATAATGCCTGATATGATAAGTGAATTTAACCACTGCCATTTAAAGATATGGAGAATTGTGCCTTTGGCTGACATTGACATTTGAGGGTAAACGCTTCTCAGCCTAAACAGACAGGCTACCTGATGAAAGAACCTGATTGGGAGTTGGAAAGAGCAGCTTTAAATAAGATGCATTGTCAGATAGTCAGCTGCAGCCAGCAAGTCATCGTACTTTGTGTGTTTCCATGGGAAGAAAAGATATCAGCTATCAGCTCGGACAGCGCTGGGTGTTTTTGAATTTACTGTCAGGATTAATGCCATCACCAGATTTCCATTTGGTGTGTGTCTGTTCAGTTTGTGACTGGGGATGTTGTACTGTTTGTATAGCGATGGGAGTTCTCTCAGTGTGCTCCTTTCAAAAGGAAAACCTCAAAAACAGGAATGACTTGAACTCACAAAGCCTAGTCACTCGTGAAGCTCAACGTGAAATTCTTAATGATAACAAATGAGATGGGACAACACCAGAGGACGGCTCTGATTTTTCCTATCACCGCTTCAGGAAGATGGTTTTGCTCTGTTGTTCTTTCCAGTTCATAAATAAGCAATCTTCCTATCTGAGGGAGGGAAGTATTTTGTACCCCACTCACTCACACAGTACAAAAGCTTTTTAGCTGTCAAATTAATTAAAATGATTGTGTTCTCAAAAACTCAGTTCTAGAGTGTTATTGGTCAGCTGTTATGTGGCTCTTGTCAAACGGAGGTTTCCTGTTTCCAAAGAGTGAGGGGAGTTGACAGAGCACAAACAAATAATCTCAATTATTCTAGTTAGATTTCCATTTTAGTCAAGGGACATGATGTTATAATTACCTTACACAGGGTCAGAGAGAAACTGAAGGGCCAAACCAATGGAAGTCTTAGTTACAGAGTGTACTAAATGCCCCAGGAACATGAGCTTGTCCTCAAAACAGTCACATAAAATAAACATTTACAACTGATGTAAATATCGTAACAGAATCCATTGAAGAAGAAATCCGAGTACTGATTACCGATCTTTAAAAAACTACCTTCGTTATTCTACTGAGTTCTTTGTTTCAAAGTCATTCGATTAGATGATAAGTTACTTCTTTAGCTATATCCAGCAGCTACTTCCTCAACCTAAAATATAACAGAATATTTTGCCAATAGGGACTTTATTGTTTTTAACAATATTTCTACTGACATTTCTAGCTCAAGTTGAAAACTGTTTCCTGAAGAAAATATGTTTTTATTTAAAAAAAAAAAAAAAAAAATATTTTTTTTTTCTTGGTTTAAGATGACATAAAAACTTATTTTCATAGATAAGCACAAAATACACTAACTGGTTGAAAGTCCAGATTTAGTTGAAGGGCCTCCGGCTTCAGCTTTTTTGTGCCGTAGCGAAGGATCAATCTCAAAATCATTGTTTCTAACAGCCGATTCAAAAGAGTCCCGCTTTTTTCCCCCTTCTGCTGCTCAGCTCTCACTCTCAGTGGCTCCCTCCTGCTCAGCACTGATTGTCAGCAAAAAGGGCAAATAGCTAGGATCTGCACTGAGGACATCGATTCGTTATGGAGTTCGATCCTGTTTCTGTTATGGTTCTGTTCAGTACATTTCTCATCAGTGTTTTTCTCATTTGTTTTGGTGTGAAATCAAAATTAAAAGTGAAATCAAAAATTTTACACAACAGTAAGAATGCCTGCTTTTCTAACAAAACAAATACATAACATTAGGCAAGTTTAAAGCATCTCATAAAAACACTAAATCCAATTATTAGCATACAAAACATTCACATTTGCCAAGTTAAGCTAAAACATTTTCTCACCCTTGTTTTGTCTACATTCATTGACCAACAGAAATTAAATCTTATAATTCAGAGTAATTTTTCTATTAAATGCATTTTAATTTGACTTTTTTCATAGAATTACTGAAACTGATTAGCTTAAGAATTTTTGCAACATCAAGATGTCATGCTGCTCACTTGCATCAAAATTCATTTACTACATGTATGATTTTTATTTTGTCTTACATAAGAAATACGTTGTTCTCCAGAATATTTTTAAATAATAGTCGATGTGTGAGCAGGCGACATATTACTCATAATTACTGATTTTATTCAGTGATGCCTCTTGAAATAATTAATTGATTTATACCAGGTTATTTATCAAATTTTGCCTCCCACACATCTGAGACAGCAGCAAAACACTGATGTTGGGTGAGGCAACATAATTTACCTTTCACCTAATAGGTGTCAAAAGTTCATGGAACTTCAAAGTAAACAAATAAATAGACATAATAATTCAACATAGTATTATCAAAAATAATTACATGGCCTTTAGAAAGGGAAATTAATTGCTCCCTCCCCCCTTTTCTTAAAACTGAATTTCATTATCAACTATAGTGGCAAAAGATTCTCCATAGACATTTTCTTTGTTTGCAATCTTGTGAAAAATGCTGGAAATATCTTTATAAAGCAAGACAAAATTGGAAGTGAAAGCAATTTTTAGCTGAAACACAACTACACTTTTTCCAACAATTGTGGAAAATGACAATGCAGCTATGGAAGACCCCCTCAGGGAAAAAAAAAGATGTCACCATGTCAAAAAGCTTTTTGGACTGCGCAGAAGAAGAGATATAAAAGAAAAACAGGATTGTGAGTTTGTGCATGCATTTGCAAATGCATATGCTGTAGGAAATGAGGAGTGGGTGTGCTCTCTTGGAGACAGTGGGGATGGCTTATTAGGAAATCATACCTCTTAGCCAATGGTTTTAAAGAGGGAGGCAGATGTCATTTGACTGAGCTGTAACACCTCCCAGAGCCAGCACATCCCCTTCAGAGTGTCGGTGCGCTGTGTGAGAGCACTGCTATCACTGCTCCCTCCACTCAGTCTGCGCTCCTCGCTTCTTGTCCACTGGTTCTCTCTTGCTGTCTCAGATTTTTTTCGCCTCATTTTTTTTTTTTTTTTTTTTTTGCTGTTCACCTCCGCTTCTCCTGCTCCTCTTTTCTCCTTCTGTGATTCTGCCCCACAGGGAGAGATAGGATCTGTTACACACCGCATCTGTCACACATCAAGAGCACAGGTAAGTCTCTCTTCTGATATTTGTTCACTTCAAATTGGAGGTCTGTAACACTAAAAAACAAACACAAGTAACCTTGATTGCTTGCTTTCCAATCTGCACAAATTTATTTCTCCACATTTGTAATTTCTCCTCGCTCAGTTTATTTATTTATTTATTTTTTATTTTTTTTGTAGAGATGAATTTAAAGTGCAGCTCTGACTGTTTTAAAGCAGAGCAGTTGGTGCTAACTTGTTTCATGCCTTTGTTGCACTCATATCTGATTTTTATAAGCACTCTCATTTCTGCAAAGTTGATGCACTGGCAGCAAGGAAGAATTAGGCTTAAATTGCAAGGTTGTTACTAAGACATGCTTTGGAGGCTTTGGTCTTAAATAGAAAAAAAAAAGTGGAGACACTGTAGAATATTGTAATTTAGGAAAAATAAATAGAGGTAAGCTTTGTTTCTGTGGTCAAGGCTGGTGGCAGAAAGTAAGTGAAGAGTTGCACCATGAGCTTGAGCTCAAGTGTTCACACATCAGAAGGGGACAAGCGGACTCTCTATTGATCGGGAGATGGCATGCTCCCAGAAGTAAGCTGAGGGGAAATCCAGAGAGACTGATGGAAGATATTTATCTTGGCTCTCTCTCTTTCTCTCTCCTCACACGGCATATATAACTCTGGAGCATTTTAAAAAGTAATTTTTGTTGTATTGCATTAACTATTTGTAAGAGTTTTTTTTCCTAAGTTTTAATTTAATTATTAGCATTTTGCATATTAAAAACAGAAAATGACAAAAAAGCTGTTGCCATGATATTTATTTTTCCATTTACTGATTCTCCTGTTTGGAGTTACTCCTCTGCTTCTTTACTTAGTGTTCAGAATTTGTTTATATTTCCATTTCTTTCTTCAAATCTCCTGTGTTCACTTAGCTTGCTTTTATCCTCTGTCATGTTTATATAGCTTTACTCAGGTCATGGTCCCCCCTCAGCTGTAGCAGATTCACTTAATTGGACTCACTGGTTCATTGTTCTACAGTCCAGTCCTCCCAGTGAATGAGATGACTTTATCATTCACTCCTTGCTGGATTCTTCGGTTGTTATCTCCACGTTTCTGTGCTCCTGGACCCTCGCATGTCCTTTGAATGGCATGGGTTTGTCTTTCCTTTTGGTGAATCACATTTTTCCCTCTACAAAAAGGTCCTACACAACTCCAATATACAGTCATGTTTTTAAACTTTAAAAAATACAAAAATGTTTATTTTCAGACAACACTATGTAGTTTAAAATTCAAAATTCAGAAATCTGTACTTGAATAAGTAAACCTCACAGCTCTCATGGATAGTGGCATATTCTCATCCAGACTTTGACATTGTTGTTGAATTCTGGAGAAGAACCCATTCATTTTCACCATTAATGTTCACTTCTCCAAACATGTCATTGTGCCTATAAATCTAAGCTACCAATGCAGATTATTTGCTAAACTACAATTACATATTCATCACTCACTTCAAACTACAAGCTTTATGTTTCTTCCCTCATTTCTAGAAATTGGAGATGAGTCTCATGACCAAATTATGCATCTCCTTTGATTGTTAAATAAACAAATAGGACAATGTAAATTCACATTTGCAATTCAACAACAAACACATTGCTGTCACTTGGATCATGTCTCTTGGTGGCTTTGACGACTTTACAGAGAAGCTTTGCAAGATGGGTTTTACTAAAGCGATAGATGTTTAATTATCGCGCAGTTGAAAGGTGGTCCAGACTGATAAGTAATCTCTGAAGTTCATCTTTAGCTAATATTTTTCTCAAGGACCAATGCCCCCACCGGCTGTGGTCTGTGGTGTAAGAATAATCATCACACTGATGAATTTAAATGAAATCTGAAAATAGCTCTGAGCAAAAGTTGCGTTAGGTCTCATAAGTAATACAGTGGTGTGCTTATATTTCATTCATGACATAGTTTGCTGCACTCTCTTGGGCCGGGGAGAGAAATGAGAGAAATAGCTTTGTGATGTGAAAAGACACTGGTTGTTGAGGAGAGAGAACATCCAGACTCACTGCGGTGGAAACACTAAAACAAGAGCTGAAACAGCACTTTAATGGTGAGGATCCACACAGAAAACTTTCCCATTTCACCCGACAGGTGACAGTCCACAGAGTTGCGGGATTTATGTCACTCGGTGGGTGTTGCATCCCACTCTGCACGCAGCTCTGAGAGTAAGGAACAGTCACTGGACGCCTAATAATGACACATTCTTTACTTTGAGCTGCAAAACAACATCAGCGAAGACAAGTGCTGCTAACTTCATGCTTTGTGGAGTCAGAGACGCCGTGCACAATGTATATAAGGCAAAGCCTGATCTTATCCATAGCAATAAAAGAAGCTGCTTTAGCGAATTGCCTGACAGGCTCTGTTATTAACCCACCACTCAGTCGGAGACCTGCAAAAATATCTGCAATTTGAGGAAATTAGAGCCCGAGAAATGCGAGACCTGGTGCCTTTTCAGTCCACTGAGGCTCCAGTGCTGACAGCTACACTCCGTCTTTTTTTTCTCCCTTTCCCTCCGCCTGGCTGTGAGCTGCCCCAGGTGTGACAGGCAGCCGGAGTAATGGGGGACACTTGACAGATGCATATTTTCAGCCTTGAAAGGTTCGTATAAAGAAGATAGACGGCACAGATTCAGACCGAGGGAGGGACACACTGTTGGGCTGTAAATCACCCCAATGAGTGTGCCACCTTCTCCTTCGATTGCTCAGTCATGTGACTCCCACGATCACCTCCAACTTGTTAATTCCAACCCAACCTGATTATTGATTGAAATATGAGGGCAGTATATCGGATGCCATGTTATGCTCCATTCAGCAGCTGGTCAAGTTCTACCCAACATGACCTGGGAGTGTGAGTAATTAGTACTGGGATTTCAGAAAATTAATATATTTTTAGTGAGAACAATGCCTTTTGTGGAATATGTATGCATCTTACTATGTGTTAAAGTTATACTGGAGACTTATTGATGTGATTAATCTTTTAAAAGGTTATCTGGGGACATAACCTCAAGCCAAAGCAAAAGGATTACATTACAGTTTGTACAGTAGGGTGCAGTATTTCTTTGGCAAATAGACTCTCTGCCACACTGATCAGGAAAAGACAGTTGACAAATGAACTTTTCAGTTGATCATAATGTCTTTTGCATCCTTTTATCATCCGAAATGTCTGCATGAATTTAAGGCTTGCTAAGTATTATGGTCCTCAGATGTGAATAAAAGGAGCTTTCCTGGTTTGCAGGTGAAATGTTCTCAGCTTAGTTAAATGTAACTAAACCACATGTACCTTGTGCTTCACTTCTGAGCATGCCGACCTGTTTTTCTTAGAATAAAAGGATAATGTGACAGGTTAACATCCTTTCACAACTTTTCAAAACATGGCCAGTCCAGGAAGTTCTGAAAACAGCTGTTTAATTCAACTTGTTATTATATCTACATGTACAACACTAAATGCAATTTAAAAACATGCACTTGTAGCTAATAAGACTGGATGGAGATATGGTTTTCTTCTGACCATGCGTAGTGAGGAGGATGTATTTTGGAACTAAGAATTTCAGATTGCGATCGCTTTGCCAATTAGTACCCACATGTTTCAGCAAACCCTTTCCACAACTTCTCTTGAGTATTTTGATAGAAAACCGAGATAAAATGCTCAAATTCAATTAATGATTTATTTAACGTTAAATTATCTTCTGGAAATTTTTTTATTTCACTTTTAGATAAATATGGTTTTAATTTGGCCAGACATACCCTCTATAATACAGGAGATGTGGATTTATGACAAAACCAAATGATCACTTTGTGACTTTCTGACTAGATTTTAAGTACCAGTCATATAACCTAGTTGGTTTTTAAAACATGTACAAAATGTCCCAAAGGTGGAGATGACCTGACACATGGTCGATACTAACCGTCCTGTAAAGGATGTCTTATTTTCTTACTGAACAAAGACAAGTACAACAAGACCACAGCTACAATATTATGTTATGAAGTGCTGTTAGGATTTTACAAAATAATTCTAACTTGAAATAGAAAGTCAGTTCCTCAACTTTGTTTTCAATTCTATTATTGCAGTGTGTTCAAAAAAAATGTAGCTTTTAGATTTGACAAGTAGATTTATGAAGCTACATTAATTTACAACTAAATTGTTAAAATAGCTAGAATAAAATATGACATAAAAAGTTTAAATAATGCAAAAAGTAGAAAAAAAAATAAACTTTTAGCGCTCTATGATAAACTCATTTTTAGCTTGCATAGATTTCATTTTGCCTTTGCCATTCAGCAGCAGTATCACAATATTTTCAGTCTGATTTATCCAGTATCACTGGATCAATCATCAGCAGATCATCCAATGACAACCTTCCTGGAATCAGCCTTTGTATTATTGAAATGAGAAAAGTTTTTGTAGGTATTTCAAAGGAAACTCGATCTTTAGATTTTTGTGACAGTTTGTGTGATTTGAAAGCAGTTACAGGCTGATCCGTTATGAAGGTGTTCTTGGCTGCAAATAATGTTTCTATCCACCTCCTTTGTTTACACAGCATTTTAGATGTTAAATGAAAGAAAAAAAAGACTAAATGTTGATTCGTTGCACGTTTAATGGTAGGAACTTTTATATTTTTATTCTGACTGAATCCTCTGAAAGGACAAAACAAATGGGAAGCTATTTGTCAATGACATTTCTCTCCCAAAATGATGAGATGCAAATGATAAGCTACTCCTTATGGTAAATATGTTTGTCAACGCGTAATAAATGGCTCAAAACACATCTTGGCAAATTAAATGTCAAACAATTTCTCTTATAATTGCCTATGATGTATTTGTCAGGTTGTCCGATTTCGTATGGCTTCCTAATGTATGTGCAAAGTTGAAACACTTCTTGCATTTTTGTTAAGCTAAATAGTTTTGAAGCTCAAAGCGATCAGATTTTTGAGCTTCTTAATTCTTACTTATAAGCTACTTTGGTCAAAAT